ATTATATAAGGCAGCTGGCTATATAAGTCAAAAGATACATTGCAAGTACCAGAAGCAATAAAGTAAAAACACTCTACAACTTTGTTGGAGATAAAAAAGATATGAAATACATATAATTTCAGTCTTCCAAGGATTTACATTACTTAGTGGTATATATTTAATTGTAATAGCTAGTATAAAGCTCTAACTGCATCAGAAGAATCATAAAATAGTTTGGGTTGGAAAAAACACTGTCTGTTCTAACTCCTCTGTGAAGCATGACTTTGCTATTCCTCAGCAAATACATCAATGATGACACATATTTTGGAGAGGAAATCTCCACAGGTGTAGATATATATGCTTTCCTTAAGCATTTTTATAATTATACCATGCCATGTGTTAGCATGGTCATGAAGTGACCACAGTGTCACGTTCAGATACCTGAGCAAGCTGGGAGCAACTGCAATTCTGTGGCTGCAGCAGAACCCAGGAGAGTGGAGCACAATGTGCCTGGGATCATGGCAGAGTTCCCTGCTTTGTCTGCTTAGCTGAGTTAGCAGATTAGTTCAGACTCTGCCATGCTGCAGTTTAATCATGCCTGTCACTGGCATGGAGATATAGTGGTAGTTATCCCATATACCACAGGTTAATAATGCATGTGACCAGATCATATCAGTGTATGGATGCATGTATATATGTATATTTATATATATGTATATATATCTATCTATCTATATATATATATATGTGTGTGTGCGTGTGCATATAATATATAAAAACATTACAGAATATTACAGCAACCAAAATATTTTTATTTACCTTCTTTGTTTTTATCCAGAGTAACTAAAAGCTTTACATTCCTGTCTTTTAAAAACTATAGCAGCACATGATTTTATATTAAGTTCCTTTATGAGTATAGATGAGTTTTCCTTTATGAGTACAGATGAGTTAGTTACTTGCTGAGATATCCTGTCACCAGTTTCTAGAGATTGGACAGTGTACTGCTCCTTCCCATTTTCCACTGCAATATTTATGACTCAAATTTAAGTTTTCTTGGTACTAGAAATATCATTTGTTTTTAGACGTGCTTATCTATGTTATGCTAACAGAGGATCTTGTGTCTGTGACTAAACAGCAAAGTTCCTATAGATAGTAGAAGAATAACATGTCCAAGGATTGAAATCCAGCAGCCATCCACAGACACTGACAGGTATTGCCATTGTATATTAGCTGGAGTTTGAAATTATGATACGTAGAAAGTGTGTTGTTGTATTTTTCTTGTTCTGTGCAGTGTTTATAGCTGAAAAAGATATGCTAGGAGCTGAATTGTAGTGTACTGTAATCCTACAGCAGTTCTATTTTTATTTATTCAGGTTTTTTTTGTTACAAGAAACACCTAATGCTAAAATGGTGATTGACATGATCTCATCACTTTTACAGACTAAAAAAATTTAAGATGGGCTTTTAAATAAATGATTTTCAGTAATTTTGGGGGAAAAAATGTTCTATTTGTTATGTAAGCTGTTACAATTGCTTACTGTTGGAAAATTTTAATCTTTTACAAAGCTTTCTCTATCCATAAATTTAGATGAATGACTATAGTAATTTGCTGAAAATTCTTTTTTATTTGTGAAGAAAAGTAACAAATCTGAAAAACCAAAAATCAGAAAGTTATTTACTGTGTTGGGAAAAGAGTTCACATTTGAAATTTGGAGTGTATATATATATAAATGGAGATAAATCAGTATATAAAATAAAATCTGGGAGCACCTTTGATTAGGTACTACAGTAGCTAAAGTTTACAGTGGTACCTAAATGATATTAGATTCTATTTCTAGTACTTGATGGGTTTGGAACAAGAAGTTAAACTGTGAATACTCACAGAGCTTTCTGTGTAGTGACTCACAGAGAGCTCAAACAGTCTCATAGGGATTGCTTGGTTTAGAAGCAAACACTGTTGTACCTTTTCCTCAGAGTAAGGGACTGTTATGCTTACAAGTCTTGCAGACTTTAGCATGGAAATTAGCCATCTACCATGGCTGTCTTCCCCAGCAAAAACAGAAGAGTGTTTCAATAGGTAGTATTAGGTAGAGGAAGTAATTATTTGATGTTTCATTAACTGTATTTTCATAATGAAAGTCTTTTAGCAAAGGTAAACAGTGCTAGTGTACATTAAAATATTATATGGATGTTGAATAGTTTAACTAAGACTACCATATTTCCCTCTTTAAAAATCAGTAATTCATATGATATGATCTCTAATGAGAAAAGAAGAAAGTTTCATCTAGGTATTTCATAAGCCTAAATCTTTAAGAATGATATCTGAAAATTTAGAAACTTCCATTTTTAATTTAACTTCCTCCCGTAAGTATGGCTGGGTTTTGATATTCAAGCATAATTGGTAAGGAAGGAGTTCCACTGTAATGACTTACAGTGCTAAGGAAGGGGTTTCCCTGCACAAGCAGGTAATCAGATGGTTTTCCTGTAAAAGGGACTGTTGCTGAAGACTGGATGATGTAGTACATGTGTTTGCTGTTAAAAGGATAAAAGAATAAGTGAGGAGAAGAGAGTAAAACTGTTTTTTAATTGCTCTTTATATGCGTATGATGCAAAACCACAAAGTGAAGATTTCAAGGTGAAGGCTGTCCCCTTGACACAGCCCTCCGTTTGCTGTAGTGGTTTATTGGGAGGATTGCAGCCTGTAGCCTGGAACCTGAGGGTGTCAATCAGTTTGGCTTCAGGACTCAGCCTTCAAATCCTTCAGTCTACAAAACAGCATTTCCTCAGCTTCCAAGGTTTACTGCCAAAATCCACCCTCTCCTTCACTTCAGGGAACTACTGGGTGTTTTTGCACTTGAAGGAAATGCCCACTGGAGATTGTGGCAAACAGTATATTAGCTACTGAGTGCGACATTTTTGAGGCCTTATCTATTTAGCTGCTTTTGCTCAATGATATTTTGCAGAGCACAAAACCTGCCCACTAAGACATTAGTATTGATCCCAATGGTAAGAATGCCTACTTTCCTTCTAATCAGGCAGTAGGTCAGACCCCTAATATCCTAAAAAATACTTTTTATACCTGTAGAGCTAAAGAGAATAATGTCCTGCTGCTGGGTGCTCCAGCAGTCCTCTACTCACTGAAAGGAGAAATGCTGACAGACCCAAAAAAGTCTCAGCTCATTAATATTCATAAACATGATAAGGGTGGGTTTTTCAAGACCTGGATATAATTATTTGTAATTTTGTTGAATTTAGGAATATTTTTCATTGGAATTTATTCCCATAGTCAAAGAATGTATTCTATGGTCATTTCTTGGCATCATGAAGATGAATGACATTTTTCTCATCTTCCATAACACTGAAACCTCACTTAAACTGTTACTTAAACTAAACAGCATTCCTATCAAAGCTAAGGTTGTGTTTCTCTGTCTATCAACAATGTAAAAGAAGCGAGACAGTGGATGTTTTTGCTGATGAAGCTTCCTATTCAGAAACAGAACTGATAGAAGAAGAAGTGAGGTAATTTTGTTGTGGTTTTGTGCCAGGCTCATTGTACTTTTCCTACAATCTTTAGTGCCTCAGCTTATAATTACCATTTATGTGTCACTGTGGTGTGTTTGCTTGTTAGGAGCTTATAGATGTAGGTTCATGATGTATGGTATTATTCTGAATCTGTCTGTGGCAAGCCCTTTGTATGCTCTAGGAGTGCAATTATGACCTCATGGAAGGCCTGAAAAGACTGTTTTTAATGCATATTTTATAAACACATTCAGCAAAGTCTGCCACTATACTCTTTTTCAATGCTTTTAGAAATAAAATGCTGTTACTAACACAAAAGTCTTCATAAGAAGGCTGTGGTATGTCTCTCTCCTTTTTGATACTAATTAAAATTTGACTTCTTGTTACACTTAATCACCATCAAGCCACTCATTGTATTAACTGACTTCATTGTAAAATGCATGACTTCGCTCAAGGAAAAGTCCTGAAGGGTACACATTCCCCATTTGTATTCTGTATCTGTTCAGTTACTCAAGGAGAGCTGGGAGGTGTGTGGTTTTAATAAATAGCTCCATTAGGCTATGGATTTTACTTTTTAAATAGCCTTGATTTAATGGATTTCAGGATATTGCTAACAAATATTACTCCTTGAAAACAGACCATTTACATTGGGAAAAAAGGTGGGGCTTGATTAATTTCTGAAAGTAATGGTCTAATTAATAGCCTAAGATAGTAGAAGATATCACTGCTTGATCAAAAAAATCTCTTTAACTCAGTCTAATTTCTTCCCATTACATCTCTAACTATAACTCTTTCCACTGCTGTTTTGGTACAGTTCCATAGGCTGAGGGTTAAAAGAATTTTTGAATTACAAACCAATTTTTTTCTAGTTGTTGGAACCTCTGTAAGTACTAATGATGTAGATTTTCACCTGGTTACAGTCTCAGCACCACACATGAATCTATCACTTATTGACTAGCCTATATATAACAGACATCCCCAAGTCTAATAATAGTTAACAGTGCTACATGGTTAATATAACATCCAGATTGTGAACTTTCCTACAAACAAGAGTACTACCTCTAGAGAGAATGCAATCTCTAAGAAATATGTAAAAACCTATTCATATGAGAAAGAAATGCACAATTAAACTGCACTATTAATGAGTTCTTAGTTTTATTGAGACTTAATATTATGTCAGCTACTCTTTTATTCACAGGTTGATACATTAATAGACAAAATAACAATATTTTAATCCAGAAATTGTCAGGAAACAGACTATTGCATGGATAGTCATTACTGAGACATTGGAAACATTTCAGCCCATTTATCAAGAGTATGGAGCAAGTCAAATCATATGTGTAAACAAACTATATGTTATCAAGAAGTTATCTCAGAAAATTTATTCCCCCTAAAAATGTATGTAATAAAATGATTTGCTCCAAACCAGTATCATGCAGCATATTTTATAACTAATAGAAAAGCTAAAGTTCAACTGAGCTGCTTTTTGACTAACGTTACAGGAATTGTGAAGCAGCAGATAGACAGCCATATCAAAGATCCAGATCAACAGAGCAACGTCCTGTGCTAGAGCGGACCAACTCCCGCTCCCGATCCACAGAGCGTCCTGACTCAAACCTCATCAGGTCGATGCCTTCATTAATGACTGGAAGATCTGCCCCTCCTTCACCTGCCTTACCGAGGTGAAACAGACAAATCAATCGGACTAAACCCCTTCTGCCCCACCAGCTCACCATTTTATTTTCCCAGTAGCTGATTGGTATCGCCTCATCCTTAGCCGATCACTAGCAACAATAGATACTAACCCTTTCAGTGTGAACACACTATTTATATTCTACTCTGGATATAATGGTGTGACTACCATTGCAAATTGCTTGCTAACAGTATTTAACTACGTTTGTTTATGATTTCTCATTTGTCAGGAATCCTGGGTGGTTTCCACATAAAGCACCTCATAACTATCATATTCTTCTCTTACAGAATGAGAAATTATTTGTGTTCATCAGACATTGCTTATGGAACAATCATCATAACATCAAATGAAACTATTTTTTTTTTTAAAAAAAAGTTTCTTTAGATGCACTGTACTAACTTTGTCTATTACTTATCATTTTAACCACCATTTTCTCTGACTACATTTTACTGTGCCATAGTCTGTACTGTTCCTGTTTGAGTACCCCTTATTGATATTTTGAGGATTTCTATACATAAGTCTTAGCTTAAACAAACATAGTACAATAAAAAGATGAGCACATTCTGGTCTAGATCGTGTTCAGGAAAGCCTCTCTGTATTTTAGAACTGCAGAATACATTCCTTTGTTTTCTGAAAGTTAGAGTTAGTATCATCAAATCCCCAGTGAAAATTAAGTCAAATATCATTGTCTTTCCTCAGTTCATTACTCTGTTTAGAAAAATTAATGTAATCTCACTGCAACTCAATGGTAATTTTAAAAAATACAAGCTGAGTAAAGATAATTGAATTTGACTTGTGAATAAATTTATGTGTATGTGGCTATCATATCCATATGCACATGAAGATGCACACAACATATTTTCTGGCTTGACTGTGTGAAAAAGCATCTTATGGAAGCATCCTCAGCCTCAATTTGGCTTCCTTTTAATGGAGAGATTTCTCTTTTTAATCAGGTCTTTTTCTGAATAGAGATAATAGTTTCCCTCTGGGACTGCAAGGGTCCCAAGTGATGTAAAATCTACTTAGTTACGTTATCAGTTCTTGAGGATATTTAAGAATGACTTTGTCGTTTAATGGCTGCGGTTTGTTTTCATATGTGTCTCATAGGTCACATCCTCGAACTGGGTCTGTCCAGACAAGTCCATCAAGTACTCCAGTGGTAGGGCGAAGGGGCAGGCAGCTACCGCAGCTCCCACCAAAGGGGACGTTGGAGAGAAGTAAGTGGATGGTTTTCTCCCTAATGACGTTGCCAAATTGCTCATGAAGGTTGATTGTATTCATTATTTTTCTTTCGTGATTACAGTTGAAATCTCTCGAGTTTTTGTGTACAGAGTTGGGATTTGGTAATGGTATTGCATTTTGTACTGTTTTCTTCTATTATGTTTTAACATCTACGGTACTCTTGGCTGACATGAATAATTAGCAGTATAATGCACACAAAACAAGGTGAACTATTAGCAAGATCCTATTCCTTTTGAAGTCAGTAGGTGTTTGGTCATTGACTTCAACAGGCACAAGAAATGAGTATGTGTCTAGTGACAAATTTCTGGCTCTTTTGGGAGTCAGGAACCCAAAATCAGTTGATAATTTGTGGGCTCACATGGAGTGTATTACAGAATGCTGATATAAAACCTCTGCATCTTGAAACAGGAAGAGCAAGAAGACAGGTAATGATCTTTAAAATAAGAAATGTCAGATATTTCATGATTCATGTTTTACTGGTACTGTAATTTTGCTTACCTTTAATGTCTATTAAAAGCACTGCTTGATGGAGATATTTTCTGAAATGTTTAGAAGCAAAGGTATACAAGTGCATTCTTGACAGCAAATACATTTTCACACTTCTGTTTTTAGTAACTAGGTGTGCTGTGCAAAATCAGTCTAAATGGACATATACACTCCTTTTATTGATCCTTCTTAACATGTATATTGTATCTTTAAAAAAATTCTGTTGTTTTTAACCCCTGTGCTTTGGTTCCTTTTTTTTTTTGTTTGGTTTTTTTGTTTGTTTGTTTTTGTTTTGTTTTGTTTGTTTTGTTTTTGTGACTTTCCGTAGACAATGGAGACAAGGAGATAGAGTCTTATGAAGGTCTGTACATAAAGAAGGGCTTGTTTTTCACATGAAAGCCTTTTTTCAGAGGCTGTATAGGGAAAAACAAACCCAGCTGCAATTGATGTTACTTGATTGCACAGACATAGTCAGAATTATTGTCATAATGAGTTAGTCTTTATTTTTAGACCTGTGGCTCATAAATTCTACAGGATTCTGTATGAAAAAAAACAATATAAATAATGCTATCTAAATATGATTATCATGAGAAAAGTATCTGGACATTTACCCATTTTTAAAAACCTAGCATTTACACTATGGCAAATAAAAGCATTTCAGCAGTTATGTATGCACATTTCCCGGATTAGCAGATATTCAGGCACGTGTTTCTATATAACCATTGGAGAACATTTGACATGCTTTATGCTAGCCATTCATTTAATCAGAATGTTTTTATCCCAAATATTTTGTAGTGTGATAGATTTGCCGAATTAGTAGGTAATCTGCAAATATTATGGGAAAAAATATTCAATTGAGGTACTCTTTCAAAAAGTTAAAATATTTTTGCTTAAAATAAAACCTCCTTATATTTTACAGTAATAAACAATTTAATTTGCTTAATAGCAAGCCACAAGATATCAATTGCAGTCCTTGGTTATACCACGGAGGGTCTTTATGTAGTATTACTGTGTTTGTCTCATCAGACTTTTTAATTTAGTATTTCCAATATTTAAAATATTTATTTCCATTTTGGAAACAAAACTTCATGAAAAGAAAACTCTTGTTTTCTCGGATCATCACTCTTATTATATTAATTTCTTTGTCACCTTATGTGTTGTGAATTGCTTATATAAAATAGAGTCTAGATATTCCAGGAAATAATCACATCTAATCACATGATGTTTCCTGTCATTGCTGTATATGCTTTTATGTTTTACCACTCTTCCCTGCTCTTTGCTTAGTATATCTATTTAGACTGTGAGCTCCTCAGAGCAGCAATTGTGAAGTGCTGTCCTTTTGCTGTGTTTGATTAGAGAGGGCAAAAGTCTTATTTATTATTTATGTCATGAGTTCTATAGAGAGAAATGTAATAAATATAGTAAAATAACTATTTTTTGTAGGAATTATAGAATTGTTTCCTTTGGTAAGTATTGCTGGGACTTGAGGAAATCTCTTTTTACTTGAAAACTGAGTAATATTTTCCTTTTACTTTGTCTTTTGAAAAAAGTAGTTATTTGGAAAATCTGGATTATGGAAAATTGTCAGATCCACAGATTCTGATGTTCTGATATACAACCAAAGCATCATAAGTATCATCAAGATACAATAACAAGGTGCATTTCATATTGAACTTACACATACAAAGATGGTAAACACTCTTAAAAACCTAATCCATAGCTACAGCTTTCATAGAGCATTCTATGTAATTTTCTGTCATGAATTAAGAGCTCATATTCTAATACCAAGAGAGTTTTTCTTTGAGGATTTCCCTGTCCTTCTCTAGGATCTTCTAATAATTTTCTTTAAAAAGGATAGTGCTCTGCAAGAGCAGCAGATTACCTAACGTTTTTCAGTGGCAAAAATAATTAAGATTAATAGCAGTCTTTTCACTGTGGAGAATTGAATTTTACAGAAAGTTATTTTAGGCAAATGAAGTACTAGTTACAAAAACTGAAATTTAATAGAATTGGAAACACTGACTATGATAGAAGGAACTTATGTTAATATTTAGCAAATACAGCACCAAGTAAACCTGCAAGTTTTGTAGATATTTGGGTAAGTTTAAATGCCTTTTATTAAGCCCCAGTGATAATAAAAACTTTTGTATATGTTTGGGGAGGCTGTATGACCATACCTAAAAATGTTGTCACAGAGTAGTCCTTTCTGTCTTACAGAACACATACTAGACTCAAAGGAGAAAGGTGTTTCTATATTGCATGGGAACGTGCTGTGAGGGTTAAACTTTCTGTATTTTGAAATCAAGGATTTAATTGTCAACTAGATAAAGTTAAAATCAAACTGATGAAAAGAGTTAGTTAAAGGTACCTTATAGGCAATGATGAATTGGAAGTCATCCTAGCTTTGTAAAAGAGAAAAAGAAAGAAGGAAAAACTTATCTGTAGCAGACTCCTACCGTGGGCTCATTTAGTTTGCGTACATTTGAATAATTTGTATTTCTTACAAGGTTGTATCTGCATATCTTTTCTTTAAATGTTGTACAAATGCCAGAACTCAAGTAGAAAGAAGGGAGTAATTTGCTGCTGGAGATATTTTTTTGTTACAGGGCAGCATTGACTAGAATGTGGAATATGGTGTGCTTATGGCTGTGACTAGAAATGGAAGGGAAGGAATCTACAGGGAAAAACCCCAATCCTTTGGGTAATTGCTTCCCAAATTAGGATCAGAAGTAAAAAACATTGATTTGGGTTAGATTTAGTTATGTGAGCTGTGTTATGTGGTTGGGAGTGTTTGCTCCAGGACAAGAAGGTTCCTCTTGAATACTTTATTTCAAAATAGCCCAAACTGTTTGCTTTCAAGAAAGCTGCCTGGGAGTAGCTGTGAAGGACACACCTATCTGTGTTGTACTGATTCAAACATTTTAATCAGTGTCCCACACGCTCAGTAGAACATACAATATCCTTAGTTATGTTGCATTTACAGCCTTTCATGGTGATGATATTTTTGCTAATTCCTTAGGTTGTCACTACTGTGTTTATTGCAGTATCAGATTTGCCTGTTGAGAAGAATGACTGGGTATTTCTGAAATGCATGTCATTGCCTTGTATACCCAGGCTATACCTTAGCATCTAGGCAGTCTGGGTTTTGCTTTAGAGTTTATTACTTGGGTGTACTTTCATGTTATGTGGCTTGAAAATAGTTCTGAAAAGATGTCTGGGACCAGCTAACAAATTTTCACTACTGAAATGCCAGAAGACTTTTTTTTCAGGTAAATTTTTGCTTGTATGTTTTTAAATTACATGAGAGATAGAAATATCTTGTTGAAATGAACATTTGTAGAAAATATTGTTAAATTGAATTTGGTTTTAGTGCTAGCATGTTGATGTACTCTCAAGTGTTCTGTATTTTTTGCACTGGTTGACAAGAAGTGAAAAGTGCAGTATTTATAGCTCTTACGGGTTAGCATTATTTTTTTTATTTATATGTGGCTACAATGTATTTCTTTCACTTTACTCACCTTGGCAGAAGGATGAAATCACTGATCACTTGCTCCTAATTAAAATGGAACACCATAAAGTGAAAGTATTCAGTATTCACCCTTTCAGTTCATTGTTAGTTACTAATCAGAGAGAGAGAGTACTTTTTCCTGATATAGGTTTTTACTTTTCCTTTTAAAAACAAACATAACCCTTTCTTTCTTCTTTTCACAAAAACATCCCCCAAGTATTCACCCAACATTAAAAAAATAGAAAATCATGTTAGGCTAAACAGATGTAATAAAACCTTAGAACTTGGAAATGAAGTGCTCAGAAATTTAACAAATCACAGAGCTCAGTAAGGATTTGCCTTTCTATTTATGCTCTATCATAAAGACTTGAATTATATGATCTCATAATAACCTTGTGTCTTGGGAAAATTATTTCAGAACCTGTTAGGCCTGAAATTAATGCTGATTAACTGTCCTCTCTTAACTTCAGGTGTGGGTAATCTTTTTCCAGAATAAAATTAGATATTAAAATTAGCAGGAATATGGGATTAATAGGAATACTTGATTAAGTTTAATCAGGGATAGCTAGAAGCCATTAGTTAGGGTTTGAATCTCTCAGATAGAGATTGAAATCTCTAATAGGGACAGATGTATAGTGACAAACACCTTTCCAACTCATGCAGTCTGGAGTGGAAGCTACAGAGACATTCTGATGGTTAGGAAGGCACAGATTCTACGGACAGAAGTGCATGCCATTTATTTTAAGGGGTTTTATCTCATTTAGAATGCAATTTCATTAAATGGGAATTCATTTTGCAAAATGAAAGGGAATTTTATTATGTTTTACACTGCCCTACCCTAGTTTGATGGGAGACACAGAAAGGTGGTTCTAATGCAGAAAACCGGAATTAAGACTGGTCATAATTCAGTCACACTCTATCAGCTATGATTTTTCAGGGTTTTAAAAATATATGGCATATGGATATTTTGTTGTATAAAAGTGATTGATCACATGTATAAAATATAGGATATTGTCTTAGATTACTTCAACTTGGCTGTGAAGTAATCTAGACTTGATGTCTTAGGCAAACACAGCAGCCCAAAAAATGGAAATAAAAAGCTTTGCACTATCCTTTTTTGTGTGACTGCTTCTGTGGTACTGGCCTTCATACTTGCACAGTGTAACTTGCATTTTGTGTGCTTGACAGCAAAGTAAACAGAATAGGTTAGTTAACATCTGTAAGGCTTCCTTAGGATACTTTCTGAGTCTACTCTTGGGTTTTGATTTCAACTACGATTTTGCAAAAATACACCTTTGGATTTTGACTGTGGATGCTCAGTTCACTGCCCTGAGAGGTAGCAGACCTTGAGGAGTATTAAAATATTTAAGCTGCATTGGTACAATTTCCATAGAAAAACTTGAACAAACATTACCTATAACCTAGAGTTTAAAGTGCTTACTTAAAAATTCTGATCTTTCAGGGGAAGTAATAGCTTATAAATTTCTCTTGGATTGGCAAGAGAGGAAATTAAACAGCTTTTTGAAATCTGAAGATCTTGCTGTATAGGTCAGAGACTACAAAGGGCATAGAAGGAAAATGACTGAGAAGTCATACAACTGTGCTTATGACAGCCATTGTTCATTTACCTTTCAGGGTACCTACATGCCAAAAACATTTAAATTCAACTCTACTGAAAATGGTTTTTTAAAATCTTAGGCACATCTTATATATATATATATATATATATATATATATATATATATATATATATATATATTATGAAAGAAGGTTGACTGTATAGATTACATCCCTGCTGAATATTTTAATAGAAATTTTCAATGTCCTGATTTCAATTGGAATTTAAATGTCCT